CTGGTGAACACTCAATCAAGACTCCATAGAGAGATATCAAGATTTCATTTTCCTGGAACCAAGTCAGAAGCATTTATGTGGCCATCAATGACAATTAGTCAGCTGAAAACTCCCTGCTAATCTACTTTCCTGGAGACTTCTAGGAGCCTTCCCCAGCTCTGCCTACAGGAATAGTTCTTTATAGCAAACATCCAATCAGTGTTTTTATAGACACAAGCAAAATTAGTTTCAGCTACCAGCATTAAACATAAGCTTTACCCAAGCTCAGCAGTATTTGGATTGGGTTTTTCACTGGGCCTTCTCAGAACTGAGTTTCTACAATCCTGATCCAATCCAAGAACCATTTACTCATCKCTGTTTCATTGCTGGCTCCAGACATACTGCTCATCCAGGGGAGCTCTGCTCACTGGGAGTAACAATCCACTGTCATTATTTCATTTCCTCGGATATTTAGAAAATAAAATGAAATTGTCTTATTTTAATCTAAATTTTTGCTGCAGCAGTAAAAGAGAAACAATAATTAAAGCCATGACTCAAAAACAAGGGTGCAAATATTTACAAATGTTTATGTTTGTTTCTTTCCTTGCTCTCTGGAAGCCAGCCACAAGGAAGGACTATTGTTGGCTGGTCTTCCTTAGGTAGGAGGGAGCAAAGCAGAATGGGGAGTGCTTTCAATGAGATGAGCTGCTCAGAACTCTGAACTTGCTTTGTTTTTGCCACACCCAGCAGCCATGAAAGGAAACAATCTTCAGCAYCCTAAAGAAAACCCCAGAGAAACACTCATCCAGCTTGCATGTTACAATGGATGAAGCACAGTGTTATCCAGACTGTGCTAATCACAATTGAAATTAACATGAAAAACTGTGTTAATCACATCATTATCTGTTGAAATGTATWAAGGAACTGCCAGAACAACAGGACCTCGAGCCGTGACATTTTCAATACTTTTTATTATTGCTAGCAAGTTTTGCTAGTCATTCTGCAGGGATTAAGAAGAAAATTGGGAAAAGAGGTCAGAAATGCACTAATTTGGAAGTGATCCTCACTTTTTTTTGAGTGCAGAAACATCTGTACCRTACTGTCAGACAGGGCAGAAGAAAAACCAACAGCAATTATTTTAGTCTTGTTCAAATTTGTAAGATGTGAGTTCCTCCCATTTTACTGTGGCCAGTAGGTGACAATGTCAGCAGGGAAGTCCAGGAACCAGACAGCCCCAGCAGCTGATATTTGCTAGAGATAATATTCCCCCAACAGAAGTTTGTGGTTTTTTGTGATCCTGCAGCCTCAACCACCACCAGCCAGCAGATGTCCACCTTGATCCCAGAAAATGTGGTCCTGAAAAGAGTTTGTGAGGGTGTGCTGTGAGCGGTCACTAAAATACTCTGCTTTAAAAAACCTGCCAAAAAATGCAGTGACACCAGCACATCTGTTTGCAGCATATGGGTTGAGAAAGAGCAGCTGAGGCTCTTTATCAAAATGCAMAATCTCTGAAAGGAGCTATGGCCCTGGGAAACTTTCAGACTGTGGGGRTTGATTTCTACATTGTCTGTATGTACTTTACAATATATTGGATTCTCTAGAAGAGACTAGAAATGCTACCAGTCACTGCAACCACTTGATCCAAACTGGTGGGTATGGGCAAAGCCTGCCCATAAAACTCCTTATTCTGGAAAACATAAAGAGTGGGAAAAGTCCATCCAGATGACCATAAACYACTTTCTCAAATATAGCCCAAGAGAATGTAAAAATGCCTTTCTTCCCCTTTTGTCTTTGGGCCTGGTACTTTGGGTACTCTGGCCAGCATTTGGGCTGTTATCAATGAACTTCCAGTGGCACAGCTGACAARTCATGGAAGAGATGTCRAGTTAAACATTCCCACTGCTTGCAATGGTGCTGTGGGAGCCTCTTTTCATCCTGGAGTCCCAAAGGAATTAGKAAGTGCTGCAAAATTTCCATGGCTAAGAGATAAAACCTTCATCTCTAAACTCCTTTATTTCACTGTGTAAAAAATGATTAGGAGACAGTATCCCAGGTGAGGAAAGCAGTGTCTTTTTCAGACTGCATGCAGAGGTGGGAAAAGTGTTTGGCAACAAGTGATTGGTGGATGTTGAAAATGTCTTAGATTTCTTCAGATATGGGATATGGCACAGGATAGAAGAGGGGTCCAGAAGAGCTGGTTGATATTAGAAAATCACTTACTTCAAGCGCAAGTGTTATTCATCCTAACTAAATTGAGGGAAAGCTGCAGAACATGATCACAGACAAGCAAGGTGCTCCTGAAAAATGCTTAAACATTAAAAGCAGCATAGATCAGGCAGAAACAGGGAGAGCAAACCAAAAGGAATGTAGATATATTATCTGATGTCTATAGGGATGGGGGCAGGAAAGCCAAAGCCCACCTGGAGCTGAATCAGGTAAGACAGGTGAAAAGCAGCACAAAGCTCTTCTACAGGTGTGCAAGCAGCAAAAGAAAGACATGGGGAAATGCTGGTCCACTGTGAAGAGCAGGAGGGGTCCCGGTGGTCACAAAGGACACAGAAAGCCCAGGGGACTGAATGGTGCCTTTACTAGGAACACCARCCTTCAGAAATCCCAGGCCTGCCCATGAGACAAGTGTGGAGCAAGAAAGACTTASCCTTGGTGAAGGAGAATCAAATTAGGGCACATTTAACCAAATATGCCCCCATGGGACCTGATGGGAGGTGCACATGTGCTGAGGGTGCTGGCTGATGTCACTGCAAGACCACTTCTGATTGTCTTTGGAACACCGTGGGGCCTTGGAGACATTCCTGGAAAGTGCAAGAAAGCAGAGGAAGGGGAAGGAGGAGGATCCAGGGAACTGGTCAGTCTCATTTTGATTCCTGGAAAGGTTACAAAGCAACTAATCCTGTAAACCTTTTGCAGTGAGTGTGCAGCCTGTATTTCCAAAGGGGAATTCATGGTTWCCCAATGTGACAGACTRCAATGGGGTGACTAATTGAGTGGGGGAGGGGAGAGCTGTGGGTGCCATTTACCTCRCCTTCAGAAAGGCTTTCCACTCTGCCTCCCATAATATTGTTGTGGACAAACAGACAGAATATTGGGGACATAATGGACAATGAGTGGAATTGGAAACTGGATGAGCTATGGAGCTGAGGGATCAGTGACACACAGTTCAGTTATACAGAGYTCACAGGTGGTGTGTCCCCAGCTGGGACTGGTGCCAATACAGTAGAAAACTTCATTAGTGACCTGGAAAGGGTGCRCCCTCAGAAGCTCTGCAGATGAGAATAACCTGAGAGGAGTGCCTGATACTCCAGATGGTTGTGCTGCCATTCGGATCGGCCTCAGACGCTGGAAAAATAAAAAGAAGAATCTCAATTGTCATGGAATCAAAGRATGGTTGAGGTTGGAAGGGACCTCTGGAGGTGATTTGGTCCAACCCTCCCACACTCATGTAGGGTCCCTAAACCATGTCCAAATGGTCCATAATCCCATTGTGTGAGTCTGTAAACATCTGCCATATGCTGCTATCAGGGCTGAGATATTGGGTTCAATGGAGTCTTGGTCTCACTTAATATGCACTTACCTGCATCCCTTGAGAGAATTTTCCCTTTTTTTCATAATATGAACGACATGTTCTGCTAAAAGATCATTTCATCCATTCATCCTATAATAATCAGAGACTTTCTCCAGTTATAGATGGTCCACTGTATCTAATTATACCCCTTCATCATGCATAATTTAGATGCTATGAACATTGTGCTATGCTCATCTTGCTGTCTGCCAGCTTTCTGAACTTGTTCAGTAGCTGCTTTTGGAAGAGCTGGGTATGGCTTCTCTGTGGAGGGGAAATCTGGTCTCAACCTGCTACTTGAGTGCTATCAGTACCTGATGGAAAACCAGCTGTCTGGAAAATTTCATGCAGGGACTTCTCAACCAAGGGCAAATAGATAACATACTTGCCAGCATTACAGTAGTTGCTGATTGGATTCTGCAAAGAGTCCAAGGATAGAACCAAGACTGGTGTACAGCTCTGGACCTTTGAAATCAGAGTCTAAATGAGAGTCAGTCTCCAATTTAGAATTTCTTACGTGTAGCASGTAACGTCTCTGCAATGGACCAAACCACCTATGACATTTCTGAGAAAAATGAATCCGAAAGATTAAACATAAACAGTAAAACCATAATTGCAAGTTAGCTCTGAAAATGTCTGATAAAGGCAGGGTATGAAGGATGTTAGTGAAATGGTATCATAGAGGTGTAACATTTCTTACTCTTTTTGTTGCTGTTGTCCTTGGGAAGCTGTATCAGCCTTTGATTTCCTTTAAATCTGTTGTCCTCTTTATCAGATGGTCCTGATGACAACTGAATAAAAGGGCTGACTGATTTAGCAGATCAGTCCAATAACTGTTAGGATATATGTGACCCATTTCAAGTGGGCAGTCTGGGTGTCCAGAATTATCTCTCTYCTCTGTACACACAAATATACATGTAAACTGTGTCTGTAGAAACAAACAGTAGATTTAAAGTAAAAGTTAAAGTGCCAAAGTTCAAGCATAAGTTCCTCTGCATAGCAGTTCTACCCTCTTGTATATCAGTTATCCTTATTGTATATAATTTGTATATACAATTTATTGTATATTGAAGGTGTGCCTATTCTAAGGACCATATTCTGACAGACTGTCTACAAAAGTATTTGCACAGATCTCAGTAGGAACATTTGTGGAGTGAAAATTATTAGAGTTTTTAATTTATTTGGGTACTGAATTCCTGCTAGTTTCAAAGGAAGAACCAAAATAGCTAAAATGTTCTAGACCTGRAGCATTACTCAATATAAAATTAAATCTTTGAAATCTGGGGCCTGAACTCATTTGCTGATATCTATTACTCTGMCAGAAAAAAAAAAAAAARGTGGAAAGTAGCACTTGCAAATTATATACTRTTTTGGTTTTGTGCATAAGTTACTTCCTCATGAATCTTTGTCAAAAGCAGAGCAATTTCAAAACTGTAGTGTGTCTGACTCATTGAGGGAGGGTATAGGAAAAAAAATTACTCATGCGATATTTTTTACTACTGTACATCTTGGCTCCTCACCAAAGTCAAGAGACACTCAGCACCRTGGAGAACCTTCAAGCACTTTACAGGAGTGCCTGTAAGTAACACTTCCAGGGTAATATCAAGGAACTTTGGACAGTAATCATGGGCTGAGCTAGCTGTTCTAAGGTTAAAGGAATTGCTTTAAGTTAACTGTTGTCACCGTACTGATGGGAGGGTCTATTCCTAAAGTTTGTGAAACAATTTACTCCTAAACTCTCCCAAAAGTATGTATAGAGCTGTTCTGTGTAGGAGAAAGGAATATATAATCTCTCATGTACCCTTCCRTCACTCACATTGGAATTTTCTGTGTTTTGTAGAGCTTCTTTTTGGCAATAGGCAAACTATTTGGGGCTCCCAAACTGTTCCTTCCAGTGCTTTAAGGAAAGAATCTGTCTGTGTGTTTGTTKCATCACAGCTTCCTAATACAGCCCATAGAGTTGTGAGAAAATTTGATTTCTTGTGCTATGTCCCTTCCATAGCTGCCCATATCCTGTGGCTGCCCACAACACCTTTCTGGGTCCTTCTGAGTGCCCAGCTTAGTCAAATGCAACCTGGGCTGGCAATTAGGAAACACAGGAAGGGGTTAATCTCCCCCGGCTTTGGACAGCTCTGTCTGAGWAACCCAGACACTTTTGCCAGATCAGCTAGAGGAAAAGTTCTCATAGAATGCAATCCACATTCTGCGAGGGTGGACTTCTACAAAAGGTCTGAAGTGACAGTTCTGGGTGAATGCCTTTTTATTTTCATTGACATATAGACAGCTTAGATGTGGACATCACAGAAGGGTTGGAAGGACCCTTTAAAAATATCTAGTCCAACCCCCAGTGCTATAGACATGTGGTACTAGAYGGCATTTAATCAATTTGTGGCATCCTAAAAAGCTTTTAATATCTTGCAGTGTTCAGAATTTTCCCAAGCTATCATTTTCAATACATGAAGAAAACCACATCTGAATCACTTGCTATTTTTGCTTGTTTGTTTGTTTTTGCTTATGTATAAATTGTTCTATTTGCATTGCTGTGTTGTTTAGTGTTTCAAGTTCCTTTGTACACATAAATGAATAGATATTTTAGTCATCCCTTCTGTTCAATGTGTTAAACTACCATTTACTTTCCTTCCTCATGCAGCTAAAAGCAAATAATGTGGACACGAGAAATGATGAGGGTGTCAATGAAGCCCTGGGGAKAGCTACAGTAATGTTGCTGGATTTTTGATTGGGCTTTTATTTCTCTATTAAATGTCCTGCATTGACCAAAAGAAATAATGTGCGACTCCCTCCTGTATTTTTGCTTTTACTATGCCACAGTTCAGCACTGGATTTTTTTGCAATATCCAAAAATGGGAAGTAGTTTTCTTACATTTCAATGTAACTGATTCAGGCTAGATTCAGGCTTCTGAAACTGCAAAAAAAAAGGAAATATTTGTTTTTATATTCTTACTGTGTGGTTTCTCTCCTTTAATTCCTGTATAAAATCCCAACAGGACTTAGGAGACAAAGATCTTTSTGTAGCTGAAGGCAGGCAAAGATCATTGTGAAGCTTGAGCATTAATGGAATATAAGTTTCCCATTTAACCTAATGTTTCTCAATGGCAAATGCATTCTTTGCCTGACTTAGGTCTGTATCAAAATAGAAAATAGACTTAGAGATCTGACTCCTTTTTTTTCATGCTTTGCCAAATCAGCTGTGTCTCTGTTGAAAAAACTCTAATTATTTAGTAAATCCCRTTATTTTACTCACAATATGACTTTAGGAGACACCTGCTTCTTCCATTTCATTAAAATTGGCAAGGTGTTTGCATGGGTGGCTAATCCAYGTACTAGAAATGTAGACCTGCTCTTCAGCTCTAAGCAAGCAATAGCCTGGGCAGAGAAGRTTTCACAAATGCTCTCTGTAAATATTCAGAGTTTCAATTTATTGCAGTTGGACTAGATGAATGTGGTTGGYCCTTCCAACTCAATTATCCTGTTCTATTCCATTCTATCTGTAGCAAACCATCWTCAGCTGCAGGGTGAGCAGGACAGGACTAAATGGATAGCAGAGGCAGCCACGATCTCTTGGATGATGAATGTGGAGTCTCCAGTGAAGGCAGGGAAGAAATCATACATTGCATAAACCCATACTATGAAAAAAAGTACATAGGGACCCTTGATGCTATGTACATATCTTCTGCTTATCCAAATCTGTAGCCATATCTGAAATATCACAAGCAAGATSTTAAAAATGCTTTAAAATTTTTAGTTTAAAATTAAACTAGAACAATACCTTTTAAAGATGTTGCATTAAATTCAGTACATGGCAAGAACTGTGAGACCTCACAGTTAAGAACTGTGCCCAACCTCCTTGCCAGAGAGGCTCCTTTGGAGAATTTGTTTTTATAATTACTCCTGCCAGTGTGCCATATGGTAGATGCATATCATGCTTCCAGAGCTAAGTAAATATTTCCTAGGGAGGAAAATTAAGCATAGAGAGGTTCCCCTTAGACTCAACTAAAAATCAGATACAGAAGCAGAACTAGAGCACAAGAGTTTCCAGCTCCCCTCTGTGGGGGGAGTTTCTCACCACTAGAAACTATGGTGGAAAGAAATTGGCAGTTCAGAGTAAGAAACTACTTTCCAAGAATAATTCTTTCCTTATGCTAACTACACCTAACAACTTCAGGAGAGTTTTTGTGATTTATATTTTAAAGAGCAATCATTCCAGAAAGCTCTCAAAGTTTACTATTTCTTTAAGCTCTGAAGTAGCCTCTTTAGTGGTGCCAAAAATTTATTTCTACGTCTAAACCAGAGTATTATATTCCTTTCCCAAGCATTCACAGCTGTTTAAGTGCCTGGTGACACAAGAATATTCAGCCTCCAAACATTTTTTTTTTTTTTTACGTTTAGTGTTTTCTTCTTTTGAGCAATTCTCCTGTATTTGATGCTGAATATCYATGCCTGTTGCTGATGCCTGGTGGGGGCAAAACTGAGGTGTCAGACAAGGCACAGAGATGCACACTGTGAGCTGACTCTTGCCCTGGAAACCTCTGAGCTTGGAGATGGGCTCTGGAGGGGGTGGGAATGCTCCTTTCACAGCCTTCAGTGACCATAGAGGGACAGCTGAGCATCCACAGGCTCCAAAATTCACTGGGTCCTTACAGTGCCCTTCCATGCAGCTTAAGGACAAACCTMCTGTGTGTGTTCTGAGTACTGCAGGGATCTCATGTAACAGCATTGACTCAGCCCAGAAAAGGAAACTTCTTCATTATTTGCAAGTTCTGTCCATATTTTGCAAGTCTCCAGCCTCCCAGTCCAGAGGTAATTTTGTAAAATTTAAGGATGCAGTCATTCCAATATCTCAGAAACATATTGCAGCTATTTCCTGAATGCTTATAAGCATTAACCCAAGTTCACCATACCCATACATACAAACACTCAAAACTATGTAAAAACTGTGCCTGAGAGCAGTGAGATTGGTGCTGTTAAAGAAAACTCAGGATGTGCTATTTTCTCACATGGATGTTTTTGGATGGTGTTAGATAAATGCTAGCCTTTTTGCATTTTATGTTGTTAAGGCTTCTTAAATCAAGAACAGAATGCCAGATGTATTCCCTGTGCAAGGCAATTTTTCTTAGAGCTACAAAGAAATTGTGGCAGCACATACTGTTCAACAATTTGATCAAGGAAGTACAGGATTYGCTGACAAAGTTTGTGGCTGTTAGGTCTGGTTCTGCTTGACTCCAGGATCATGAACATCTCCTTTTTGGTYATGTTTCCTTAAAATGTCTTTCAGTAGAAAGGGGACAAAGCAGACCATCCACATAAGCAGAAGGGCAGCTCTGCTCGTGGYAAAGCTGAAGCCCTGTGGCTCCTGTGCTGACTCTCCATTTTCCTTGCARCACTTTTCCAAACATAGCAACTCCTACTCAATTCCGGGGCTGATTTTGTTCCTGTGAAGMACCTGCTAATTGCTCTTATACTTCATTTACAGCTGAGTTCACTTAGGCCGTGGAGGGAAGCAATTTTCTCAGCCTTCCCAGGCCCTGTGATGGTGCCAGGAATTAAACCCACCCTGAGAGCCTACTGCCCACTKTTCACCTGTGCTGAAGTTGTTAAACACAGAAGACACTCAGCATTTGTCAGGACTGTCCTCAGCACTGTAAAGGATCCTGCCCAAGTAAGGCCCAGGAAAAGCAGAACATCAGTCCAAGAAGGTCCCAGCTGGGCATGGATAGTTGATCCCACCATGCTCACCATTGCATGCAAAGCAGATAATGACACAAGTAATAACTAATTACAACGAGAAGAAGTGGAAAATGGTGCAGTGAATGCCAGCAGGACTCACAAAGTCCAGTGCTAGTAAAATASAGTGTGTGTACAAAATTACAGTTTAGTTCCTGGCTACCTGCTGTGTTCAAGCTAAACAAAAGACTTCTCTTCAGGATATATTTTGCAAATACAACTGTTCCCTATTTAAGAAACCACTATTTATTTTATTTAATTAATATCTCATTTATTCTAGTATGTTAAAATTTATATATTGATGCATATGAATTGACCTTGCATTTCTGGACAAACCACTATAAATATATTTTAAAAGAAGGAAAGATGAGCACTGAACTGTCTCCTTTCAAGGTGAATTGAATCGCAGAAATACTCTGGAATTTATGTAACAGGCATGCTGCTAGGCAGGAGAGATGGTGGCAAGCACAAGCAGTTAGGGTTAGAAAGGGTTAAACAGGAAATGGCAGAATGATTATGTTGGAAGGGACCACAGTSGGTCATCTGGTCCAATCTCCCTGCTCGATGATCCCAGAGCACATGGCACAGGATTGCATCCAGATGGCTCTTGAGTATCTGCAGTGAGGGAGATTCCACAAACTCTGGCAGCGTGTTCCAGTGCCTGGACACCCTCACGGTTATGAGAGGCTGCAATGACTGATGTCTGGAGACATTTTGGGGTGCATGTGTGTGGGGAAAGGGGCAGGCTGAGCTTTGCCCTGGTAATGCAGTGCCCTGCCCYATTCCCCCCRTCCCCAGAGCCTGTATCCCAGCCTGGCTGCACACTGGAGGCAATGCTCCACACCCAACCCCTGGAGCCCYTTTCCCAGCTCCTGAGTGGGCCAAATGATTGGAAGTCCCACCTGGCAAAGGGTCCAGGAATGCCAAGGGGCGTTTAAAGCAGAACATGAGGCCAACACATCTTGACTCTCCCTCCTCGTGGAATTTCTGTCATCTGAACATCACTGGAACCCAGGAGTGGTAGATTTGTACGTCCTTTCCTATGTATTTTGTGTCTTTCTCGCTTTCTGTTTCTAATTYTTTCTTCTCAGAATTTTTGAGTAMCTTAATATCAMACTGTCTTAGAGTTTGCTAAGTTGGTAGTTTGAAAAGTGYTTTATGTTGATTGAATGTTGCACTAAATCTTTTGCCAAAGTTCYCTGATTTTCTAAAGCTGCCAGTAAAGTTTTTCAGTTGTTTTGACCTCTTGAGAATATCTTGTCAGTATTTCTTCCGTGTGTCTAACTCAGAGTATATGATCAACCACAAGTCCTTTTAAAAGCCATGTCTTTTTGGGGACGTAACAAGAATAAAGAAGTTTTTCCTCAAGATCAGGTGGAACTTCTTATGTATTTTTCTGCTCCCCGCAGATTGAGCCATGCTCCCCTTCATTGGGGTACCTATAGGAATTTCCATGCTCCTCTCTTTCCCTTCTGGGTGCCTACAAGGCAAAGCCTGTGGGGGCAATGAGTGCTGCAGGAGGCTTGTGCCTCATAAACAYACACACATACACGTGAACCATTATTTCTGCATAGCTAACAAGAAATCAAAGTGTGCAAAACATAAAAGGACAAAAGACAGAAATCCTTGTAGAGTCACCTCTTCAATATTTGTATCTGTGATACTGGGGACACATTTGGGTCTCATGTGTGGCAGTTCAGCCCCATGTGAGTCAGGCCTGCGTGTTTTGCAATGGGAAGAAGTATTGGAGRGCCAGTTAAAGCACACCATTTTCAGTAGTGTGGCCCTGTAAATAACAGTRCTTTTCTTTCTCTTTTCCTTTTAGTTTGAGCCGTTGCAGTGTCAGCAACAGTCAGAAGAAAATGCAAACATTGGCCTCAATAGCACAGAAAGCATGGGAAGTTTTTATATCTGAAAGGAAGCCTGGCTGGAAGTATCAGATGCAGCTTTTTGCCATTTGCTTTGCAGTTGGTTTCCTCTCCAGCTTTCTTTTTTTCCTTAGCATGCACTTCTCCTTGGCACACAACTCTCTGGGGCCATTACTGATTTCTGGATTAATCTGGGTTTTGCTTTCTATCATGCTCTTCTGTTTCAAGCACCTGCGCTGTTTTAGTGTCCTGTTCCTCCTTTCTTGTGGACTGAAAAATGGCAGGGATGCTCTTATTACTGCTGGCATGGGTGTTGTGGTGGCCAACAACATCCAAAATATTTTTCACAACCTAAAGGTTCTGGCAGACAGTGTAACCTGTCATTTAAAGAATGAGCAATTTGCCTTGATAAAATATTATGTTGAGGCAATAAAATGGATTTACAAGGAGGCCAAGCTTCCTGCTGAGCTATCTAAAGATATTGTGGTCCTAAAGCACAAATTCACACCATCTTATTCCATTTCAGATGATGCATTAAAACAAGAGCTAAATGACACAGAGCAAGAAATCCAGAGAATTGCTAACCAGATATCTTTTATGTTGAATATACTGCCCTACATCGGTCAGAAASTGCTGCCTATAGTTGGGATTTTTCTAGTTTCGTTTGGAACTGGCCTCTTTATCAAAAAATTTGTGGGTTGTCATAGTACCAAATTTAAGAATACTTATATCACAAAACAGTTCATTGCATTTGATGAGCACCAAAAGCAACAACAAAGACCCTGTCTTCTGCCACTTAACAGAAAAGAGAGAAAAGATTATGTGGCAATCCCATCTTTATTCTTCACAAGGAAGGACAGGAAAAAAATGCTGTTTTCTTTTCTTCCTGTAATTATTCATCTTTGCATCTGGCTTCTGTTTGCTGCAGTAGACTTTTTGTTTTATTGGTTAATTATGTCTGTGAACAAATATCTCCAAGAAGTACCAGATCTAGACATTCAGCTCAGCCTCTCTCAGAATGTAAGTACTTATCAGTACCTATATTTCTTACTTTAATGTTGAAAAATTTCCCTTCATCTTCAGCAGCTGCAATAGCAGACATATAGCCAGTGAGCCACAAATTCTTTCCTGGAATATCATTCMTTTCAAAAAGGGCCATTAGCTCTACAGATGCATATGTTGGATGGAACATTCTTTCCAGAGCATTGTCATATTTGTAGAGAATGGTAAATTTTAGAAGAAGGACCTTCATTCTTCCATTTATTTCTGTGAAGAAAACCMGAAGCTGAAAAATTGGAAATTCACAAACCTGTCATTTGTGAAGCACTATTTTTATAGTCAAAAATCACTGTGACAATGATATAAGAGATGCCAATCCTTCTTTAACTGTGTGTTGTGAGGAGTTCATCACTTGCATACATGGGTTCATAGACACAAAATAATAACTCTTTGCCAAAATCCCTAGGTTCTTCTAGGAGGTGGAGCAGCAACAGCATAGAGAAGCACAGAGTAATTAGATTGGAAGTAAATCTGGAGGCCATCAAGACCAAAGGCTCATGCCCAAAACAAGGACAACTGGTTAGAGCATGGTGCTAGTAACACCAAAGYTGTGGGCTTGATCCCCATATGGGCCATTCACCTAACAGCTGGACTTGATGATTCTTGTGGGTCCCTTCCAACTCAGAATATTCTGTGATTCTGTGGCAAACTTCAGAGACAGATCAAACTGCTCAGGGTCTTGTCTGAATACTCTGAAAGGTGGAGATTTCACCGCTGCAGTGATGCCTTTAGTGCAAAGTAAAGATGACCATATCTGGCTGATTCATGGATCCTGTACTATGAATTTGCTCTCTTTATCTGCACTGTTCACTCATGTGGAAAGCTGGTTGACTCCTTCACAACAGAAAACCATGCCATCATCAGGTTGTTTCTAGTTCCGCAGGGAAAGCTAATTACATTAGAATGTAAAAGTTAGTCTCAACAGATTTGTTGTAACAAGCCCCAGGGCTGCTGATCTCAGGCAGTCCAGGAAGCTGGGTAGACAGGACAGACTCAGTGACTTTTGAGATGTTTATTAATTAACATGAACAGTAAAGTTCTCCATTCACTGGTACCCCTGCTTCATTTTGAGTTTCTAATGCAGTTTTTCCTTGCCTATACATTGGTTTCAATTTAGGGATAAAAKGTCCTGAGATTGTTTGGAGCAGGAAAGTCAAGGAAAGGCTAACAGGCTGAAAATGGGCGGCATGCTTTGGGAACTTGACTTGTCCAATGAACTTCTAACAGAAGTGCCTGGCCTCTGCACCGTGATTAGAAGAGCCACGAAGGAGAGTTGTATATTCCTCTGTCATGCTCAGAAATGAGGCCTGGGTGACTCAGTGTCCCTGCAGTGTTGCTGCACACAGGGCAGATAGTTGGCAGCATGGTCCCAGCAGCAATTTACCCCGTTCTTGAGCGCTTCAATCCATGAGCAGCAAAGGACATCAGCTCTTCTAAGCGAAGGCACCTACGGGAGGACAGGCAGCCTCACTTGTGTGACAGCCTTTGGTCAGAGCACTGCTGGGCTGGTGCCTGGCTGCAGAGAGGAGACAGGGCTTAGAGCTGTGTGGACATGGTTGGGTTGATGTTCTGTACCACAGCATCACTGCGGGTGTGGTTTCAGGTGTGAGCACCCCTGGATGTGTGATTTTTGCCTCCCTCTCTCCATTGGGAAGGATCAGCCCTGCCCCTGCCCTCCCTATCCTCTGCTGCCCATCCTCTTCTGTTCCTCTGAGACTTGACTCACAGATATGGTGTGGGAACAGAGCAGCAGAGGGGAGCCCGAGCCCATCTGAGTCTGAGCAGAGCTGCAAGGAGAAGTGCAGCTCAGTGGAGTGGTCAGCAGCAGCAGGGCCRGTACTGGAAGCAGCTGCCGTGACTTGAGTCCAGCGTCCGAAGCAGTGGCGTGGGTGACACAGACAATCTTGCTTTTGGGGATTTGTCTGTCGTGGTTTTCTGACATTCCGAGCTTGGGGACAGGGAGAGTACTGTGGTGAGCGCCTGCCACCTTGTCTTTTTCTGGGGAAAGCCATGTGGTGCCAGGCACGGGAAGAGCCATCACCTTGTCTTTGCCCCAGGGCCATCTGGAACTAAGCCAAGGTTGTGAATACCTTTTGTGGGTAAACCACCTTCTCTTTTTATACACTTTTGTTATTAATATTGCTGCTGTTACAGCACATCTCTCATTCCATTGCTTGTTGCTTTCACCCCTCCCCTCTGCCTTTGTCCCTCTCTTACCAGAAGCGGAGTGACCTATTTGGGGTTTAATTTCTGGGTGATGTTAAACCAYCATGGCGTGGAAGCAGTGCTGATCATCTGCTGAGACAAAGCCAAAGGGACAGACACTTTGCTCTGCAGTTTTGCTCTCAGGCCACTCCCTGTTCAGGGATCTGAGCAGAGTCATAGCAATGCAAAAATATGAAACCATTATAACCAGAGGAGCGAACTATTTCCCCATCAGAGCCACTGAGAAGTAAGTTCTTAACAGACTGAAATGATGGACACTGTCCCAAAAGAAATAATGAAAACACAGTCCAAAACATTTACAAATAACCAATAAATATATTGTTTTGAGCATACCATACATAGACACTGGATGGTCTAGTTGATTTATGGTCCTTTGTAAATCTGAATGTCCAGTGGGAAAAATATGAAGAAAGGAGGGAATCATTATTATAACCAATGCCTTTTTTTCCCCTTTTCTTTTGCAGAAGAATGAGAACAGCTATATATTTTTAAAGAAAGAACATATAGAAAAGAATGGTTCTTTCAAGATCCCTTTGTTTAAGCACAACTGCATCCCTCATCCCGAGCTCACTCTCTCCACGACATGGATCCAGCTTGGAGTCATTGTCTTCTTCTTAATCATTTTTGGGCTATTCTCTGGCCTCCTGACCCAACTTAAARTACTGGTGTCAACTTCCTTTTATCCTGACACTGAGATGAAACGGATACATTATTTGCATGCAAAATTACTCAAAAAAAGAGCAAAGCTACGAGAGAAAACTGGGAAGAACATGTTTGCAAGAACGGTAAGCCATCAGCTCTGGGGAAAAAAATAAATCTTCTCACTGGGTGGTAGCCTGACCCAGGAAATACTGAAACACGTGTTAACTTCAGTTATGTGCTAATAGACTTTCCCCAGTGCTCAGGAGTCAGAGACAAGTTGCCTAATGGTAAGATTAGATCATCAAATTGTTTTGTTCTGTACTTCAACACTCACGCCTCAGACAGGACATCAGTATGCTCAAATAACTCTGTGCTGGCAAGAAAATACTTCTCGGATCCAGAGTTCTCCAGAGAAGAAACTTTGTTTTCAGGAGAATTTAAAAAGCACTAAGCACTCTTGCAATCTAGACAGCAAGTGCTTGGCAGTGAGAGCAGCCTCTAAATGTTGAGAAAGGTGTTCAGGTGTTGCTTAGCAAAATGCAATATTTCTGTTTTAAAACAGTGTGACTGCAAATACCATTAGGAAACAGAACTTTTGGCCTGCAAAAACATTTATCCTGTACATACATATACATATATACATGCACTGATGGAAATAACAAACACATGTGCATATACCTATGGGAAACCCAAATAGATAGCTGCAGACACATACACTTCGTTTAAATTTGTATTTTTTACAGCCCTCAGTACTGACTGTACAGGTGTCTGAGTAATCTTAACTTGGTAATACTATCATACAGATGATATTTCTGTCTTTGCAGGTAAACTTCTGGTTTCCAATACTCAAGACAAGAGAGGCAGAAAGGAAGGACTGTAGCAGAATGACAGCATGATGTCGAAAAGACCAAGTGAATCTTTGGAAATGKCTGGGATGCTTTAGCTCCACTTGTGTTTTGTACCATCTTTCCTATGGAATGTCAATTTTAAAATGTAAAAGTATCAAACTCAGAGGCTGAACAGTAGTGTTTTGGAAAAGATGACATTGTGGACAGTGTGCAGCTCACCACAGATTGCTTTTGATTACATTCTTACTTATTTTTCAACTTGGGATCTGCATTATCTTGTGCTTGAGAAAATCACAGATGATCTGTTCCTCTGTCTAAAAGTAATAAATCAGTTTGGAGCTTTTAGGATCACAGCACAAATCCCTTTGGACAGAAGATGTAATTGTGACAGCAGGTTTGTCCTCACATTTGACARACACTGAAGACAGAAGACACAGCAGAGGCTGTCCATTGCCTTCTGGGATGGCCAAGAACTGGGACTTGGATGTTTTTAGACATTTCTATCTATTTCTCAAGCCTCAACTGCCCCAAGCCCTTCAGCATGGATCTTGGCCATCCCTAGCTCCTGGTCTCCCACCCAGAATTCCTTACTTGGTCTCTCACTTCCACAAATCCACAGACTGTGCCAATAGAGCAGATTGTACCATGCCTTTGATAGCCATGGGAGAGCTCATGTAACACACAGCAGTGAGAACACTCACGAGAGCTCAAATAGAGGAATTGGGGGCTGTGAGTGCAAACATGGTGGCTTTAAAGGGTGGGGCACAAATGTAGAGATGARCAATGTTTCAGATCTCTCAGACTGAGGAAGCTTGCAGAAGAGACAAAAATGGGCCTATTTAGGTTGGGTAAGCACCATTGCCTTCAGTGAAATAAAACTGAGCCAATACTGAACTGCTTCATCTATTTAAYCAACATTGGTGATGTGACCTTCATATGACACAAGAACAAATACAAGAAGTCYAAAGGCATAAGAATGACTGAAGAACTTGTAAATATTTAATGCAGAGCTAAAAAATCTACCTAATAGACAGTGTATGCCTGATTTTCAGCCACAGCCAGCTTCTTTTTTTAGGCTGGATAATAGGAAACTCTACTCTTTTCCTCTATAATACATGCATGGTTTCAGGACAGCCATTGATCAATGTCTCTGTTATCTGAATGAATAAAGACTTAAAACTCTTTGGTAGCAAGTGTCAGAAGTTATTTTCCACCTAAACCACTGAAAAACAAGAAGACTGTTTTTCCTTGAGCCTTCCAAAGTCTCACTTCTCCATGGATGCGGGTGGTTCAGGTTTCTGGTGTGACAACAATTTATCTCCGGAAAATGGGGCTGGATTAAAGCCATGCATTATTGAGGATTGTGCTGAATATCTCTGAGAAGCCTGACTATGTCCTTTTTTGCTAAAGTGGGACAGCCCTGAATAGTAGCAGAATGTCAGCTTGTATTTTAGGTGCTACTGTCATGCAGCAAAAACAAGAAGAATTCTGGCGAGAGAGAAACAATTAGAAGGTTGCTCTAAATTTGGATTCACAGAGCAGAGTAGCTATCCAGGTGCTATTGATAAGGGGATACTCTTGTTATCATTGCAGACAAAAGGGGAAAAGTTAAATGTCAATAAGAGCTGAATGTTTTTGGCAGAGTTCTGACAAATTCGTTTCTGGCAGGAGATGGACGTGCACCTTTCAGTTCCAAAGGACAAGCTGTGAGAAGTCCAAATACAGGGGYAAGTCTGATTGACAGCACTACCTGAAAACACCACCACCTGCTTCACTTGTCACCAGGAGGAAAACTTTAGCTTGGAGTTTCTTGCCTTTCCTGTTTGATGGTATTGCCACTCAGAATGCCTTTTCTCTATGTTCTGCAAGGAGCAAGCAAAGGCTTTGCAGTCCGTGGGAATGGTTCATTAAAGTGACTGAGATGTGGGTCAGTCATTGGGACAGATGCCTAAATCTGGTAGGACTTTGAGTTCTGGAGTACACTCTCAGGACAATGCCATGTCTGCACTTTTCATKTAAGGATTTTAATTTAAGGAAATTCAGCCACTGTTGTACCTGAATGCKGATGCTCTCACCACTACTGTCAGRGCAACTAACTAATTGCTCAGTTTACCCTTCAAACTGATAAAAGACAGTCCTTCTTGGATAACTAATTGTAATTCTCTACAATATGTTCAGTTCTGTACCCCAAGATGCCTGACCCCACCAGCAGTGACAGAAGACATGCAAAAGCCCAAGGTATTTCTTTGTCTTGGTCTTTGCAAGTAAGACTGATCTTTAGCCATGCCAGACCTCTCATACCCAAAGAAAAGGCTGGAGCAAGGAAGAGTTACCCCTCGTGCTTTGAGAGCACCRAAAYACACAGATCATAAGATATTAAGTCYRTAAGACGTGAYGGGAGGTRTCCATGGGTGTTGAGGATGCTGGCTGGKGTCACTGAGAGGCAAGTCTCGATTTTCTGTAAAAGTGATCAGCAGGGATTACTGAGGGCTCAAAGAATGCACATCTTCAAGCAGGGAAAGAAGGAAAATCTGAGAAACTACAGATTTTTCAGACTCAGTCTGTGGGAAGGTGATGGAACAATTTCCCCTCGTAGCTGCTCCCAAACATAAAGGCCGGGAAGTTGTCTGGAATATCACTGAAACACAAGAAAAACTTTTTTACTGCGAGGGTGGTCAAACRCTGGAATAGATGTCCAGAGAAGTTATGGAATCTCCMTCTTTGGAGATACTCAAGACCCACTGGACATGGCTCTGAGCAGCTCAGAGCTGAAGGACTGGAGTAGACATCTCTGGAGCTGCCTGATGGGCTCAGCCTGTCTGTGAATATTGACTTTAGCACAGAACATTGTTTTAATTTGTGAATATGATGTGCCAGCCCCAGGGTGCCCCCTGACAGTACATTGTTACCATCACACTCACGCCAGGGTCACATGCTTGGGTGGGCCAATGCACACTTCGTTTCTGTGGCCATACATGTGCTGAAGATTTGCTGAATGGCAGGCAAAGTTTGCTCTCCCCCATGCCTCTAAACCTGCATTATCAGGGAAAATGGCACATTCTCCACCTTTTTTTAATTTTTTTTTTTTTTTTAATTTCTAAACCAAGCCCACCTTCTATGCCTCAAAGGCATTGAGTTTTGTCTCAGTGGTAGGATAGTTCTTACCCTGAACTATAGTACCAGACCTATTCCTTCAGCTGCCCAGTGTCTCTCTTTAGCTATACGGATGAAAAGGCAGGTCTGTTGCTCCCCTGAAATTACACAGAAACATACTTCTCACTCTCTCCTGACCTTATTTTCTTTTTGTTTTCTTCCATTTGTTTCTGTCCTATGAGCAGGRGAAGTCTGGGGGTTTGTTTATCTTCAGCTGTCTCCTCTGCAAGTTTTTCAGCTATTCCTTGGCCTCTCTGTTTACCATAACCCTCAACCACAGGATTCTGTTGTTCTTTTTTCTTAAAAAATAGAAGTCTACAAGTTTCAATAAAAAACCAGCATTCCACCCACAATTATTTCTGTTCCTCTTCTTGCCTACCCTCTCCTCAGATTTCCTGCATTTCATTTTGGCTCTTTTTCTCTGTCATTCATAAACTTCTTTCCTCTTTTTCTATGTTTTCTTCATCTCAAATAGATCATTCTTTCTCATACATAAAAGGATGCAATGCTTTTCTTTCCTGCTGAGAAGGGAACTATAGGTGCAATTGAAATTAAGGATTGTATTCATTTGTTGGTGTAAGAATTTTTTTATATCTTTCATATTATTGGGCTTTGTCTCTAAATGACTCTCTAGAGCCTTTCAGAAATGCATTTAGCACTAAGAACAAGAGTCTGAGAAGTCTGGATTTGGCTTTTGACTCATTCATTCCTGTACTCTCAGCTCATGGCAKAACTCAACTTCCTTTTTAAATGTCCTTCACTAATGTAGAAGCTGTTTGATTTACTGTGAGAAATCTTCCAATTGGATCAAATCTGGTTTGTAAAATTAATGAAAGGCTGACCTGATTGTCTTGTGAAGGTAATTCAGAGAGACATGTTAGTGCTCCTGACCCTCCTGAAGTGGAATACAAACAAGGAGATTTCCTTTCAGCAACGTGTTTATGGAACTCTCCTTATCACCACTCCATAGCCCAAACCTGGGGCTGGCTTCTAAAGCCAAGCCAAACTAAAGGCTTCTTTTCCTTTGTGTTAGTTTTGTTGCAGCATTTCATGTGAGCAGCTGGGTGTGCAAAGTCAGAGGATGCTGGGTTTACAGCTGCTTTTCCTGTGAGCCCTGCTCT